TATGGCTGATTAAATCAATCCAATCTCACACCATCACTTAACATGACTTCAAGGAGACCTTTTGTCACCCAGTTCAAAGAACTTGATACTTTCTGACAGCGGTTATCAGAGAGATTTGGAGCTTGGTTATCAAAAGAGATTTTCTCACAGGAACTGATGAGCACATGGTCCATACCCTCTCACTGGGCACTCAATTCTGGAAATAGGTCTAGTTATTGCCAGGTGATCTGGACGTGCACAGGACCGGTTGTTATTTTAGCAATGGGTGTCTCTGGCACAGCCTAAGAAATGGGCTTCAGATTTTTTCTCTTCTGTAAGACACAATGTCACTAACAGAACTAGCACATTGCTGCACCATCTCCCCAGCTGTTGCTACACCACCCCTGAAGTCCCACCTAGCTCTGAGAGTTGTATGACACAAGCAATGAGTTTATTCCCCTTTCATGTTGTTATCAGTACAAAGCTTTTCCTGCTTTAATTCTGCTGCTGAGTTACTCCCTTATTCCACAATGGGGTTTCAACAGTATTTATTGTAATTACAAAAACTTCCAAAACCCCAATGTTCAATTTTTCTTGTGAAAAAATGAAATGGACTGTCCACCCTACGAACAGTAGCATGTCATTGGAGTTCCCGATGTCAAACGATAGGACGAGGGGCAACGGGAGCAAGCTGGAGCATAGGAGGTTCAACCTGAACATGAGGAAAAGCTTTTTTACTGTAAGGGTGCCAGAGCATGGCCCAGGCTGCCCAGAGAGGTTGTGGAGTCTCCTTCTCTGCAGACATTCAAAACCCGCCTGGACGTGTTCCTGTGTGACCTGGTCTGGTGATCCTGCTCTGGCAGGGGTTGGACTGGATGAGCTTTCGAGGTCCCTTCCAACCTCATATTCTGTGATTCTGTGATTCCTAAGACACCCTCCTACCCATGGCTGCCTGCAGAAATAACCCAATGCTTCCAGATTTGCCCAAACACCCAGACTACTGTAACTTAACACCACAAGCAAGTTCAAAGTGTCAAAAACTAAAACGTCCCAAGATCCCAGGGGCAGCTTCAGTATAATCTGAGTCAATACTGGGCCTATGAGCAAACAAAAAATGGGCTGCTCTATGCGGACGGTGAAATTAATAACGCATGCACAAGGCCAATATACAGCGTCAGATTATTCTTACCCAACTCAGATGTCAGCTGGTTCTTGCTGTCAGCAGTTTCACACCAAACGTTGCCATCTTCAGCTTGGGATTTGAAAGCATCTTCTTCAGCACTAGAAGTGGGACAACATTGTATTCTCCAGTTTAACCTTTCCTTGCTAGTTACAGACCACTATGGCATGAGACCTTGTAGAGCAAATGACTCACAACACACTGTTGAAGTCTTGACAGATTCTTGCCCATTCTGAGATGCTGGGATAACTGATTATTTCTCTTCAGCTACAGACCACACGAAATCTCTCTGATCTGACCAGGGAGCAAAGAAACTCCCATGTCTGCAGAGCATCTTCCTGAAACACGGGAAAGTCACTTGACATTTGCGAGGAAAACATGTCTACCTGACAAAGAACTTGGAAATTAAGAGTTTTCCAAGGCAGCATGCACAGTCCTGACACAGGAACGTGGAGTGTCTCTAAATTGTTAGATTTCCAATCATCTCCTCCTCAAGCTGAACACAACTCATCATTGACCAGCGCACGCTGTCTGCACACACTGCTCTGAACCTGGCCTTTAAGTAAGTTTTTGTTGGGGTGGGACAGCATAGAGGGGTAAAATTGCTGGGGAGAGAGAAGGATTTTTTTGAAATCTATTGTCAGTCAAAACCAAATCAACATTGCAGGCCAGATCCTAGAGTAATTTAAAAGCACTGGTGAAGTTTATACAACTTATTCCGGGTGAGGATTTATGGGTTAAATCTGAACCACTTTGATAAGACATGTCTGAGTAAGTCTCCAACACTGTTGGTGCTAGTAGCAATTCCAAGGCTAAATTTTGCAGTTGAGCAAGTCATCCACATAAGCTGGTGATAGCTCCCCAAAACTCTATTTCAGAGACTCCAAACAGAATTCTTCCTGTAGTCTCATCTCCTGTGTTCGTAGATCATACGGTACCTGTGAGGACAGCCAGCAGCTGCCTTCTGCAAAGCTGTTTTTATCACTACTTCATTCTACAGCAAAACGCAATCACTCAACTCCGTCAAGCTTCCCTGGGCCTGCAGAGCGCCCAGCCAAGTGAGAACCCAGACACAGCCCAGTGAGAAACCTCGCCAGGCCCCGTACGGACTGAAGAACAGAAAAGGAGAAATGGTAGGTACGTAAAAAGGGAAGGTGCTTGTTTACAGGATATGCCGTCATTTATATTTAGCAGCTCAATGTTCCATGCCACTGGTGAAAGACACGGAGGGAAGCAAAGCGGCTCTCAGATAGGTTAACCACTGACTTCAATCGACGGTTTCAGTATTGCTGGGCAGCTGATTCTGGGAAATTATGCTAGGAGGCAAAATAGGCAAGAAAACCCCTAATGGTTTGCTACATCCTCCCAAAGAACAAGAAACAGGTATTGCTGCCTTTCGTATGAGTGAGAGCTGCTAAAAGGTCTTATTCAGCTTTTCGTGACTTGGGGCTCACTTCTGCCCTGACAAATGCCTGTTAAACTGATCTGGCTTTTTCTGAACAAACCAAATAAATGAAGGAAGATACTTAGTTTCAGGGCTGGATGAAAACAATATAATATAGGTCATTCAGCAATAAAATAACACTTTTAGCTTTATCATTTGACGTAAGTCCTTTTCCATTAACAGCCAAAATGCTGTAACTCCAGTGTCCTGTACAAGAAGCAAGAGATCTCCTTCTCCTTTTCTAAACTGTTCCAAAAAAATGCTGACGTTTGTATCACCCTCCTCCAAGCTGTTCAGTTACACAGGACTGAGTCTTTTTTGTCAAAGATTTATGGAAGGACAACTGGAGCAACAAAACTTTGTAGACAAAAAACCTTTCTTTATATTTCATGTGGCTCTCAGAGACAAAAAAGCCAGATACACCACTGATTAATGAAAAATGTGTTTGCATAGAAGGTTGGTCTGAACTGACATGCTATTTTTCAACAACTATGCAAATTCAACAACAAAAAAACCCCATGCAATGATCAGAGAAAGTGCTGGGAGCTTTCTGTCCTGTATCTGTCTGTTCTATATGAATAGAATAGCTACAACACAATAAAACCTTCCTTCTTTTGCATATGCAATTACTTGTGGGCGTAAGCGCACATGTAACAGATCTGTAAGATATTACAGGCAGAAATGACAGTACAAAAGGTAAAGGCTAAGACCAAGTCATAAGCTCTTTATAGGCAAACACCTGTAAAGGTTGTTTGAATTGTTTCTTCTCCCAGTCCCAACATTGCCCAGGTTTTTACACATGCTTTGCCTTCTACAGACAGCAACGAAGATATTCCACCAAGTTAAACCCATACATCCATGTCTGCAGGATCTTTTGCTTTCCAACACTAAAGACTGATAACCAGCTCTCTCATCCCTCTGACCAATATTGTGTATTTCTCAATGAGTCATTTAAATAAAATATTTGAGTTTCATCAACAGAAAGTAAGACTGAGGCTGACTACAGCTCCATCTCACCAGCCCCTTGCATCTGATCAAACCCTTGTGCCTCGGGTAGAGCATTGCATGAGAGGCAGCACTTACTGATGCTTCCCCCAGAGCACTCCCAAGCCCCACCCGATCGCAAGCCAGGGACCAACTGAGGTCTAGAACTTGAGTGCACAGCTAGAAAACTAAATAGGGAGAACACAGATTTTGGATACTCAGGGCTTAGCTGACTGCAATTTCAGCATGACTGTTTATGATCATGTGAAGGTTGCCATCAGCTCATGCCTTCTTTTGTGTCCATAAGTTTAAAAAAAAAAAGACAACAACCCCAAAACCCAAAAGAGGAGCTTATTTCCCTGACATGGCAGGATACCTGAATTAACCAGGATTAAAGGAAGTTTGAAGTGATGATTCCCCATATTCTTAAAAGATGTGTATTCCAATGCTTCGAAAGATTCATCTCCCAGGATCATATTCTCAACCTTTCTATTACTGAATTCATTTGTGGAAATGACATACGTGTGTCCCAAGAACAGGAAAGAATAATCCAAAGCCCAAATAATGCCTCAAAAAGGATGAGGGCTAGCTCACTCTTACTGTGGTCACTAGAGACTGTTCCTTCAGCTTCTCCAGAGCTCAATGGGGCTTGGAAAGACGATAACTCTGTTTATTGGAGAACACCCTCTCACTTGGACAACACTCATAGTGCTAACCATGACTGGGGAGCGAGACCCCAACCTCCAATGCCAGTAGTTGTTTCACTTCAGGTGTATGATTTATTACAGCAATGTGAAAAAACCCAAGCCCCAAAAAAGGAAAAATCAAATCCTTTTCTATAGGTACGAAAACGCCTCACTGATGCAGATCACTAAATTTCAACAATCCTAACAAACTCTGTCGGTATGGAATATAGCTGTCTTCACCAATATCAGAAAATGTAGAAGGCTGAAGAGGAAACAAAAGTTAAACCAAACCATTTTAAAATACAGTACTGTGAAAGATTTTATTTCATTTTTATCAGTACTACATGCTTACTACCACTAGAAACAGACATGCCTATTTTGTTTGCTTGTTTGTGGCTTTTTGTTTTGTTTTTAGCCCTATGTTAAGTGTTGACCTAAAGCTTGCTGTGCCTTGGAAATCTGGCTCAGGATTAACTGTATGACGTTTTATTTAAACAGATAAGCACTTAAGTTTGAAAAATCAGACAAATACAGGTGAACAGGAAAATTAAATTACAAATTCAGTTCATACAAATATCTCTTATTCTATGCACTAAATCCTGTTAATTAGCTGAGAGCTTTCAAAAATTCTTGAAATACTTATGAAACATTATTTACAAATTATATAAATAAATACTAGGTCACTTTTAAATTAACCAATGCAACAAAAAAGTCACCTTTTTGTACTGTGTGTACTAAAAATGTTCTTGTTTATTGATTGTAACCCAGTTTGCAGTATAAAACATTTGTTCACTTACATCAAAATGGGTTCAAATAGAAGGAAGGAAGGTATTGAAAAGAAATAAAGCAATATTATAAATGCTTAAAATCAAAGAGGCTTCGTAATGTTCTCTTTCTGCACAGTTTGCAGTCATTTTCAGAAGTCCCTGCTACAGTAATTGTGAACAGCTCATCTCAAAATAGCAGAGACACAGTTTTAGCAAAGGGAAAATCTCCAGTACGTCACTCACAAGTCACAAAGACCTTTCACCGGGAGGGAGAGGATGGCGAAGGGAATGTCAGTGGCCAGCACAAGCCTTTACAACATTTAACTTAAAAGGCAGCATTTTGAGAACTAATCACAGACTATACACATCCTGCACCGAACAGCAATCAAAAGGACTGGAAAATATACATTGAGGAAAACAAGAAACCGATGGTTTTCCATTGCCTTTGTTAAAATTAATGCTTTTCTCCTTGTCTTTTGTTTTAAAACCAGCATCAACACCACCATCAACAACTACAACTACCTTTTCCTTTAACATAATATATGCCAGTTAACTACTGTACGTGAGAAATGTACAATAAAAGGAGAGGAACCACTGAATTTCCTATGCAGACACATGAAAATATAAAGCCATACAGATTCAAAGTGCCATGAATACCGAATTCAAGTGATGGTTTATAGCATGTAGGACAGAAACTAAAGAGAACTTGCTCTATGGGTTGCCAAGCCCTTCAGCTGTATCTTCAGTTTCCCCTTTGGCTGCTTTGGTGAGAATTTCCATCCATTTTAGCTGCAGTTCTTCATCTTCTGCGCTGAAATATAGAGTTTGCTGGGACTGGCAAAGCTTAAAAACATGCTTCACCTCAAACTTCTCACCAGAACCTGGTAAAGTGACTTCATATCCAGGCAGAGGAATAGGACGTGGGCTCCGTCCATCCTAAAGAAGAAAGAACAAATGTAAAAATTCAGCAAGGAACGCCTGTTTCAAACAGTTTAAAACTCGTTCTGAAGTGCTATGACATGGTTGGAAATGCATGACCCTACACCCAAGCCATGGTCACCAGGCAGACGCTCAGGCCAAGCCGTTGCACCCCAACCCTCTCTCCCCACAGGAGCGTTTCGCCGTCGGCTAACAGCCCTGCCGTGCTGGAGCCAACACGTGCCTGCGGAGCGAACACGCACGCACACGCTTCAACATGCACACGGACGCGGTTCCAGAGCATGCCACGGCATCGCGTTCCAGAGCCGGCTTCTTGTTCAGTGCTGTACCCTAACACCAAAGAGGCAATATCAACTGCTCAACTTAAAAGAACAGGCAATGACTTAGCGGTGCTTTACTCTTCTGATTTAAAAGATTGCCTTTCACAGTGATAACACGGATCCAGTAGTGGCATGGCTGGGGATTTTAATGTCATTTCACATAACTTCCACATGTTGTCTCTTATAAAAAAACCTTTGCATTAGGTACAGGCAATCGGGCCCAGCTGAGAATGGTTTGGTGTAGCCCCTTTGGAACCTCACGGGACATTTGTACGATTGGCTTAAAGAAGACAAATAGGCAGAACTGGACACGGAGAGACACCGGGGAAGAGACTTTGAAATAATGAATCTAGTGAATGTTCTCAGAAGGACTTGGGTTATTCATGATGCCTTTCAGAGCTGTCAAGGAAGTCGAAGCTCAGATCCTTTCAAAGCCAGATTAACTCACAGATCCAAGAAGGGACACAGCTCTCTAGGAGTCACATCTTGAGCATCAACCAGTTCCTCTCCTAAGCTCTCAGGAAAGGCACACTTTGGCAAGGCAAGGTGTGCTAGGACCGAGCAATGTGTTCCAACAGATGCCAACAAAGCATTTTCAAAGGTGGGTCCCCAAACATAAGTCTAAGCCTCACAGGCATCAAGTGCTCACAAGAAGCCATCGTCTCTTGTAGCAGCTCCTTGCGCAGCAGCCTACTCAAGTTCAACGCCTCATGCCAAATTTAACAAGGCATCCCACAGAGAGGTGGCAAAGTCATTCTTTTGTCACCCCATACTGAATGCAGATGACTTAGTAAATCTGGAAGGGGACCACAGCTCTGAGAACAATGGCAAAAAATTTCTACTTTTCTAACACAAAGTAATTCAAGTTTAAGAACGGCTCACATCAATGTAAATGCATACATTACCTAATGAGAGAACCGCAGTGTTTGATTTAGTGAACACAAGCTGATATTCTAGCTTTAGCTGGGACAGAGTTATTCTCCTTACAGTAGCTGATAAGATTTTTGGTTTGGTTCCTGCCAGCAGATGTTTGTATTATATCAAGGTTTGTTTTCCAGTCTCTGCCTAAGCATTTGTTCATAGTTTCTTTTCTGGGTTGTTTTTTTTTTCCTTCTCTTAGCACAGGAGGATGGGGAGAAGTGAAAACCTGGGATTTTCTGGGACAAGTGACCCAGGACAGATGATCCGTGACCAATAAAAATGTATTCTATCTCATAAACATCACACTCACTATAAATTGGGGAGTTTGCAGGTGATGACTCCTTCCCCTGCATTCCTTCCTTCCCTTCTCCTTCACGATGGTTGCCTGTCTCCGTTCCTGAGCCTTACCCCGCCTTTGTCACATTTTCATTGCCATGGAGCCAGTGGCTGCTGTTTGTGAGCTGAGTATAACTTTGATTGCTTCATTATCATTGTTTCTACTCTAACAATTCATTATTATTATTATTATTATCATTATCATTATTATTATTATTATTTCAGTTTGGTTTAATTTTTAGAATGGATTTGGTTGGAAAAGACCTTCATCGAGTCCAACCACTGAACCAGCCCTAAGTCCACCACTAGACCATGTCCCTAAGCACGACATCTCCTTGTCTTTTAAACACCTCCAGAGATGGTGACTCCACCATCTCCCTGGGCAGCCCCTGCCAGTGCTTGACAACCCTTACAGTAAAGAAATTCCTCCCAATATCCAACCTAAAGCTGCCCTGGCAGAACTTGAGGCCATTTCCTGTACTATCACTGGCTACCACTGAGAAGAGACTGACTTCCACCTCGCTATGACCCCCTTTCAGGGAGTTGTAGAGGGCAATAAGGTCTCCCCTCAGTCTCCTTTTCTCCAGACTAAACAACCACAGCTCCCTCAGCTGCTCCTCATAATTCTTGTGCTCTAAACCCTTCACCAGCTTTGCTGACTTTCTCTGGACACACTCCAGCATCTCAGTGTCCTTTTTGTAGTGAGGGGCCCAAAACTGAACACAGGATTCAAGGTGCAAAATTGCAGTCTTGAATTAATTTAATTAATAGACTTTTAAATAGTCTTTATCGCAACCAGAGGAGTTCTTTACTTTTACTCTCCCAATTCTCTCCCCCAAACCACTGGGGGGTGGTGAGTGAGCGATGCATGGTGTTTAGCTGCTTGCCATGTTAAACCACAACAGCTGGATATGTGGCAGTGCTAAAGCAAGCAAATACGGGACTGATGAACACAAAATGCACATGAGCACATGCAAGCTCAACCATGCCTGCTTCATTGGTCTTGTTTAAGGAAAACAGATGCTAGCACTTGTCACATGTAGAATCAGAGGTTGCCCATGACAATGACAAATGGTACTGTTTGTAGCCAAGAAGTGCAGCATAAGACCAAATTGATGTTTGTGTTGTACACATTACACCTACCCAACACATGCAGACACAGGCAAATTAAGCAGACTGCCTTTGGTCTTGCTTCCTCCCTTTTCTCAATATGATGCCTTTGCCACTTTCTCTGTACCTGCCTTATCCAAAAGGAAGGAATGTAAATTATCTCTGCAGAGCCACCCTACAGACAGTGAAGCACTCAGCCTCCAGCCATACCACACACCCAAACCAGATCTCTGCAGGACTATGAGCACCTCTGGATTTTCTCTGCAACTAAACCCTTCCCCTCCTGCCTGCAATCCAACAAAACCAAGGGCTGTTCTGTACCCACGAGGAATTTGGGCCCTACATCAACCACATAGTAGGATTTACAGGCACTACAGAGAGATAAATGTCATATTCCATTTTCAAGACCTTACTGGATTTAGCTGGTTGAACTGTTGGGTTTTCTTTAAAAATATTTCTGTACGCAACATACCAGGGTTGCACGGTATCGGTATTTCATCAAACCAAACTACCCAGCGGTGAGAAGAGTTTCCCTTTAGGGTTGACTTCCTGAGATAGTGAGTGACACAAAAACCTACCAGTTGTGTAATACTGTCAGTAATCACAAGCACTGTGCACTCATCCTGACTCTGAGCAGCATAATACTAATGTGTTCTTTATCTGGGTAATTACAGCAGTGTTTGTTTACTCTTCTGTCACAGCCACTACAACACCCAGGGTTTAAGATCTAGGAATGGAGTCCTCAATTCCATCACACAGGTAGTTCTTTATCAAGCTCCCCTCCATACAGATATCCCTCTCACACCGCACATCTCCGCAGTGTACAACCTCTCCTACACAAATATACAGAACAACAGCTACCCACTGATGGACCAATATAATTCCCTGCTACTTTTGAGTAGGCTTAGAAAATCCCTGTTTTTCAACCCAAACTCCACTCTCTACCCACTGATGATCTAAACCCAACCTTGTGCATGTTGAGAGACTCCTAGGACACGATGGTGTGCCAAGATGCAAAGCTCTGCGGGACCACGAAGAAGGACAGGCAAAGTTTTATACAGGGCCAATTAAAGCTTCACCTAAACTGGGTCAGCAGACAAGCCACAAAAATACGTCTCTAAAACACCAAGCTTGACTTCAAACGCAGCTACTCCCTTATTTTCTAGGGTTAAATAACATTTACATGATGAACACAAGATTTTTCCTCAGAATTTATAAAGCAAAATTTTCTCTTGGATCCAACCTGATAATTATATACACGAGCTCTCACCATACTAGATTTACCCTCCACATGTCTCCAAGATTCATTACTTCTCTAGAGAACTGGGGGTCCTTAATTGTGTATTATTTCTCAGTCGAGTGTAAATTAATGCCAGTTGTACAAGGATTGTACAAGCACTGTTATAAGGCCAAGGGAGGCAGGAGTTCCAGGAGGAGTCCTTGGAAAGAGAGTACGTTCTACAAAACTGCTGATCCTTAAGCTTGAGCTGGTCTTTGCTTATAAGCAAACTCTTATAATTCCACTCAGATAAACACGACAAACAGCTGCACAAATTCTGCCTCCGTCTGAGGACAGATAAAATTGCTACGATTTCCATACCTAAATAAGCTGTAAATTTTATCCTCATCCATAAAGCCTTATGCAAGACTTAAACCGGGAACACTCAGAGGATTAATTCATTCTCCTGGAACAAGGATCTAAAGCAAAAGAGCCGTTTTCTTGCCATTTTAAAGCCTGTGAGTTGTATTTCCATTTGCACTGGCAGCCCTTCTTTAGCGTGAGGGCCAGGGGAAGAGAGGCCGAAAGCTGTCAGGGCATTTACTGTATCAGACGCCCCAGATTCAGCTTCATTTAATCCTTCTTTCCAAGAGGCAGCTATTATTTCTGTTCTTTTAAAAGTTATTCCCCCAACTTTCAAACTCCTACCGTCAAGCTTCACTTGTGCTCTGTTTCAAGGCCTTTAAGACCATTGTTGCAATATTATTCCCAAAAGCATCTCTTTTTTTTTTTTAGGCACTGAAACACTTCTTTGCAGGCCTAAAGAGGTTTGTGAGATGCATTGAGGCGGTTGTACACAAAACAAACAGAAAATAACATTCAAACCTGTGAGTGACTCCTGATTTATTCCAGACACCAGGAGAGAAGCTCTGTAATAGATTTTTCTCAGAAGTCTAGTGTATATTAAGTAAACCATATTGAACAAGAATGTTTGGTTGATATCAAGGAGTGGGATTTGCTTCATAATTTTTTCCTTCAGTTGGATGCAAAGTGAAGAAAGTATAGGAGTGGGAGTGGTATGGGCCCTTGAAGAAGGGACTCATTTGTGTTGTTTATGGTCTCAGCCTGCAACTGGCGATTCCTGATAGTAAATCCTGGCTTGGTTATTGAACGTAAGATCGATCGACCCTGCCCAGTATGCTTTCCTGCCATTTTATCGTGAGATTTATCTCACACCTAAAATAGTTGAGGACACTAACCACTAAATTTAACCGTCATAAAATCGACAATCAGTGTCAAGGGCACCCTTTTCCCCTAAAAAATAGGATCTTACTAATAATACCAACAAAGGCTCAAGATCAAATCTGGCAGGACATGGAGCAAAGAATGTAGCAGCTGAAGCACAGCAGCTCCTCCATCTTCCAATCCTGGCTTTGCACGACTGTCAGGAGGGGCCTGGAGAATGAAGCCTCATTCTGCTGTGCACTAAATACAGCTGATTTATGTTCTGTGGAATATTACTTGTGCTGTCCCGAGACAACCGGTTGGGCACTAGGAGAAATGCTCGTTCTAGGTCATACCATGTACGATGTGCTGCTTCCTCTCAACTCCTCATTCCAGCCATCTCCTAGATGACATGTGTTGCTCCTGGGTAAGAAAGACCAAAGAATTTGGACCTCTCTCCCCCTGTTCCCTCTCTCCTTCCCAAGGCTTGCCTGTACAAGGCACCCTGGTTTGGTTTGCGAGAGATACAGGGCTTGCACTAGACCTTTGCTGAGGTTTTCACATCAGTTGAAAAATTTCTGAGTGAAGCTTTGCTTTTGAGAGCTTTTTGCCTTTCCCCAGCCTCTGACTCCAGAGACATCTAAAGATGGGGTATTGCTGCATTCATTTTAGTGCTTTGTCTGCAGTCATTTGCTTTTTCTATATGCAATTTCCATCACCAGCTCCTGTTGATGAGGAGGGAGCCGCCGCAGGATGAACTGGAGCTGACCCAGCACGGGGTCTGAAGCCCAGTCGAAGCCACATGAGCTGTCTGGAGCTCCAAATTCAAGCTTTCAACCTCTTGAGCACTAGGCTTAAAACATTACACACACTTGTTCAAAACCAGAGGTGTTCTCGCTGACAAGCAGCAAAATGAACCCACTTGTAAGGACAACGCGTACTTCTTGTCAAATGTTTGCTATGAGGTAAGCTTTACGTTGAACAGCTTCATAAAATCCTGGGCAGTATTCAGTTCACACACTGTTCCTAGCTACAGCCATGCAAATTGATGCTAATAAAAAGCAAGCCCTTCATAGCATTAGCAGGGTAATGGGAGCTTCAATTCAGACCCATTTCTTCTTCCATCTCACGCAAGAGATAAAAGAAAGCCATATATAAACATGCCAAATGCCAAACACTAGATTGGATGTGGAGGACCTCATTTCAGCATCTTCATTCTTTATCTTCAGCACTAAGGAAGCGTGACCGATATTTCTATTCTGGATATTCTACTTGGATATAGATATTTCTGTCACTTACTTTCCATCACCCACAAATGCTAGCTAGCTTCAACAGCACACTTGAAAACAAAATAAGGCTTACCACAGTAATTATCTCTAGTAAAGATAAAACCACATGATGCTATGACAAGGAGCTTTACCAAACACAGTTCATTTTTCAGGCTGAAGAACACCTACATTTACACAAATTCATCCACCCTCTCAACCCAGAACTAGGTTTAAAAAATAAAAAAAGAAAAAGCTTGAACCACCAAATGCAATATTCAGGCTGCTTCACAGCTCTATACATTTTACAGGAAAGTGCTTTCCCTAATGACAGGGTAAGAAAATCTCTGAATATAACTGTCTGAAACCTCTAAAAAAACCAAAACATAACCAAATTATCCTTGTTTGTCCTTTTTTGTTAAAAAATGGAAAAGAAAAGCTATAAGCCTAAACATTTGCTCAGAACCGTATCAGCAGTAACTACAGATAACAAGGAAATCTGAAATCTCTGAGGCTTTGTGCTGTATTCAGAATACCAAGTTCATTTTTGTTGCTGAAACCAAGACAAATCCTTTGGCCTATTTCTAAGCCTGACATATTTAAACTTACTTTTTTTCCCCCCCTGTGTGTTAATGCCCATGAAAGACATTTTACCTGGCTACTTCCTTGCAGATACAGAACAAGAGGCTCAGTCTTGGGGATGGTGACCCACATTTTGTACCAAGTCTTCCCTTTTTCAAGGAACTGGAGGTAGCTGCTGAAGAGGCTGTTTTCAGCTGCTAAGATGCTTTGCTTCTGGATGAAGGAAAAAAAAAAGAATAAAAAAAAGACCTGTTCCCATCTATGCTTACATGGGCAAAATACTTAGAATTAAGTATAAAATACACTTAAGTTTTCTAGAGTCAAATAATACTGTAGGCCAAACACTGGATAGCCCGTAAGTGAACAAAAATTTAATCCTTATTATATACCATGAAGAAATTGCACATTTCCTTGTAACAGAGGCAGATGCTGAACCAGTGGAGATGAACTTAAATTCCATCTCTGCCATGTAAACTGAGAATGGCAATTAAGATGATGCAGCTAGTTTCTTGCTTAGCAAAGTAGGCTGGCAGATGATTTCAAATTAATGAAAAAGGTGTCTTAAACACTTGTGCATGGATGCAGAGAGCACTAGAGCAAAAAAAAAGATTGAAAACAACTTCTGACTTTTGATAGAAAACAAAAAAACCCAAAATTCCTGTTCACATTACACTTTGCACAGAAGGCTCCTTGGGGATTTCTGGCATCTGTTAATAACATTTGTAAAGTGGCAACCTCCACAGCTCCTACTAAGCTTGTTAAGAAAGTTTAGTGTAAATAGGAGGGACAGAAAAAGACTGTCTCTGATCTTTCTTTTTTAAAAAATGTACTTTCTTGCATTTTACCTGCTCCTTTGAAGATTAGGCACAAGGCTAGAAGCCTGATAACATGAGCGAAAAATGACAATTTTCCTTGGGTTTTTACAGCTTTCTGCTGTAATCTACTTTCTGAAGTAAAACCATAGGTTCCATTTCACTGGTTTGCCTTTTCGTCTTTTCAGATTACCAGAGCTCTGGGCTGTGGAGGCGCAGGGTTTCACTTTCCTGGCAAACAGCGCTGCTGAAACAGTGTGAGAAAGTTGAGATGCCACACTGTTCCATAGCGCTCATAATCTGTAGGCACCACTGTAGTGTACAGCTGAAGTTTCTGATGGTATCAAGCTCTGGATCCAGAATCTTGTCTGTGCTCTGCAGACATGAGAGCTGAGGGAAGGACAACGTGGGTTTGTAGCTGTACCCCTCTTTGTATTTCAGAGACTCTGGAGGTGTCTGTGTACAAAGCTGCTGAAGCATTCGAGCAGTAGAGTTCACTCTGCGCACCGTGCTGGTGTAATTTTACCTGTGTAAAATTTTACCTGTACATTTAGTAGCCTGGAAATAAATAAGACATCCTGGGAGGCAGAGCAGTCCAAGATGCCATGAGGAAGCAGGTATTACAGGAGCTCGGGATACGCACTGGCAGGTTTACATTTCTTCTCAGAGCCTAGCTCTTTGCCATGTAGTTTGGCTGTGATGAGGAGCAAAACAAGGCTGTTGGCTCAGTGTGATGGCAGTTTGATGGCTCAGAGGGGTGGCTTCCAGAAAGACCTTCTTCAAGGCAAGACTTTATTCAGCATAGGCTGCAACTGTTCTCCAAATTTCAATGCAATGCTCATATCAGGACGGTGTATGTCAGTGTACTGGGGGGAAGGATGATTTGCAATGAAGGTCCTTGTGTTTCAGTGGCTCTTTCAAGAATCTGATGTGCTCTCAAAAGGTATGTCCCTGTGGGTCCACTTTCAATTGAGATGAATGTCTGCTTTTACACACGCAGTGACTTCTGGCTGTACTTCACAGATCAAATAAATCAACCCCTTTTCTTCAAGGTGGCCCATGAAAAGCATGATACATAATGGTACTCACTGCTCTGCCTGTTGTCTAAAAAAAGCATTGGTAAGAGAAGGTTCAGTTGTTGTGGGTGAGGATAAAACAAACCAGTTTGGCAAGAGGTTTCTTGTTCTTGTAAAAAATCAGGGTAGGATGTGCTGCTAGCACAATATAAAGCTTGGTGTCATCTGTGGCACTTGTAAAGCAGTAGTTTACACAGTATGATTTGTGGAAGTCACATCTTGGAGAAAAGAGTCTACATTACATGCAGGTCGGAGAAAGTTCCAGCGAATCCTGACAGTCTTTCAGAAGGATGTCATGCTTTTGAATGATCAACTAAGAAAAAATCATTTCAGTGATATTTTGACAGGATATGCAATAAGGACTGCAAAAGCATCTTCTATACAGAATTAAAAGTGAAAAGTCAAATCTTGTTTTGCCAATAGTTATTGTGCTCAACTCAGGATTGGAAATGCACCATAACAAAAAGACACTAGAAGAACCCTTTTTTTTTGTTACTTTGAAGCTTAGCTGCAAAACCTGTGTGCGTCCCTGTACAATCAACATCCTACAATGAACGCTCACCCGTTACAAACAGCATTCAGGCTGCGTGCACACTCTGTACAAGTTATACAAGGCCAGGGGTCAAATATCATGGTAGGGGGGGGAAAAAGGCAAACAATTTTAGTTGTTTTAAATAGATATATTTAAACAGATACAAAAAAGAGAGAGACTTCCAAGGGCAGCTAGCATTTCCCAGCTAAATACTGTACCTCTGCAGCAAGTCTTTTCTTTTGTTCTCCGACTGTTTCCACCCCAGGGCTGCATGGGCTGGCTGGGAACTGCAGGAAACACTCTTTACACACTCGATTATGACGGCTGTTATCTGCAAGGGGTTTAAACTCCGAGCATTTTGCACAGATCACCTGTATCAGAAAGATGGGGCTTTATTAGTCATCACTAAAACAGAACCCTTCTCCAAAGAAAGTGACTTGCAGAACAGTTGTTATTACAGTAAAATACAGAAATCTAATGTAAGCGTTAGATAAAGTGACCAATGTAATATTTACTTTATTTACCTCAAATAATAATTAACATTTTTGTGATCCCACTGTGTGTAACAACATAATCAAAGAAAACATATGCCTTTTGGTACATACTTCATGATAAACATCATTCAAGTTTGCTCTTCTTATACACCTTTATGAGTCAGAAAGGGCTTAGGTTGACAAGCAATTAGTGCATTTCAATGCCAATCGTAAAATGGTCTAGGAAGGACTGACTTTCAGAGTACAGGTGGCTGACGCTTCATCATTTCGGCAGTTCAGCCTGATAGAACTGAGGAATCCAAAAATCACTGCCCATTTTAAGAGCATACTCCCACATGTTATCCATTAAAAACTATTTGTCCGATGGCAAATTAATGATTTTCGCTTCCTTTCATCAGCTACAAGGAGCACACCAGTGCCCTGAAACCAGTGCTGATGCAGGGTGATGGATCTGCAGCTCTGAAACCCATTTTCACACTTAAAATCTGACCCTTGCTTTTGCCCAGCTGCTCCTGGGAGAGAAACCAACCCCAGATGCAATGCAGGGGCAGTCAGCTGGATCCGACATCCACTCTGAATTTAATGTTCAATAATATACCCCAGATGCCCCTCGGGTACAAGTATCTGTTACTATATGCTTCACCGCAAGACATTAATGACTATAAGGAGGTAACTACCTGAATTCAGCAAGTGTTAAGTGAAGCACCATTCTGCAATGTTATATAAACCAAAGCAAGCTGGCATTTTTAGAAACATGAGTCTTTTCTTAATGCAGATTCACTTAATTAATTTGAATGCTATTGCCATAACCAGCAAGTGTTAAATAATAAATTATTAATAATGTAACTCTTGTTATTGCTATTATTAGAGAAAGCTATTTATTTCATTTCTTAAACAATACTGAACTTTGCAGTGGAACATTTTAAACCTCCAATATATTTCATTATTTTAGTAAATATTAATAAAATCAAACCAGGATGGTTGACAATCCCAACTGTGGTGCAAAAGTATCTCCTCCACAGTAGTTTTATTTCAAAATAAAGAAAGACTGAGGTTTCCTTAAACATCTTAACTATACTTTAAGGTCTCTCTTCAGCTGCAAATTTATCTCCACTTCAAATGAATAATGGTATTTAAATAACATTATTCTGCGCGAGTTACATTAGGAACACTGAACTGTGAAACTCAAGTCACAGAAGGCAGGTTTCAAGTCATATTACAGAAAATAATCTTATCTTGGCTGTGGTTATGATTTTCACAAAAAACCTGAGACTTAAGGTGTCAGCGGATGGCACCCGGGAAGGGTGGCTCAGTGCCTTCAGAGACCGGGCCTTGGATCTCCAGGACTGATTTTTTTGACTTTTCAAGCAGGAGGAAACTACTTTGGTGCAAGCAGTTCTTGACAGCTGTCCTTTAGGGAAA